ACAAGCATATTACCATCTCTTTAAATCACTATGTTTTATATCTAGGTATAAACAGTTAGAAAAATCTAGTTGGCTTGGCTAGACTATAACAAGCATATTACCATCTCTTTAAATCACTATGTTTTATATCTAGGTATAAACAGTTAGAAAAATCTAGTTGGCTTGGCTAGACTATAACAAGCATATTACCATCTCTTTAAATCACTATGTTTTATATCTAGGTATAAACAGTTAGAAAAATCTAGTTGGTTTGGCTAGACTATAACAAGCATATTACCATCTCTTTAAATCACTATGTTTTATATCTAGGTATAAACAGTTAGAAAAATCTAGTTGGCTTGGCTAGAAAACTAGATTTTTCTAACTGTTTATACCTAGATATAAAACATAGTGATTTAAAGAGATGGTAATATGCTTGTTATAGCTTAGTAAGAGCTTCCATCTGCATAATATAGCTCTAGAAGATAACGGTGTACAGACTTAGTAAGAGCTTCCATCTGCATAATATAGCTCTAGAAGATAACGGTGTACAGGCTTAGTAAGAGCATTTGTAGACAAATATTACACAGAACTCAAGCAAGAAAAAAAGAGATATACACTAAATCCTTCCCACGTCAAGTTTAAATAATATTGCCCTGTACACCGTTATCTTCTAGAGCTATATTATGCAGATGGAAGCTCTTACTAAGCTGTACACCGTTATCTTCTAGAGCTATATTATGCAGATGGAAACGATAATACAGCGTTTGAATCATGGTTTTAGTCGGCGGAGCGTATTCTATAATGTCCAAAGAATACTCGTAGCTTGTTTTTCAATTATCATAATTTAGGATACAATAAACAACAAGGATTAATGTACGTGTGTATCAAATACGGTCGTCTTGTTTTATAATTTTTATATAATTAACAAATCCACGATGATTGTAAACCACACCATAATTTTAAAATAGGCCAGAAAACCATTAAAGTGAGCTATTTTGATATTTGTTAACCTGGAAAAACATTAAAGTGAGCTATTTTGATATTTGTTAACCTGGAAAAACATTAAAGTGAGCTATTTTGATATTTGTTAACCTGGAAAAACATTAAAGTGAGCTATTTTGATATTTGTTAACCTGGAAAAACATTAAAGTAAGCTATTTTGATATTTGTTAACCTGTTTTCTATTCGTTCCAGATGATAATAATTTTATTTGCATATTTATCGATTCTAAACTTTCCTTAGATACCGGAAATCATCAGCATATGTGAATTATGTAGTTACAATCCAGCGTTTCTGATATTGAACGAAGCCATCCTGTGTAGCGAGAGACAGACATATTGATAGGCTATCAGCAAACATACCTACTTCTAACTTGAAAGCCGATCAAATTAAGAGGATTATGGGAAAAGGCACCTGTGGTCTATTCTTATGTTTCTAAATAGTTTATACCTCTTTGTTTCAAATGTTTCGACAGTTTTCTATGTTTAACCATGTAACTCCAAGAAACACGAGTCTGATTTTTCTTTCTAGATTTTTCTTAAACCTTTTAATACGCCCTTAGCTTAGGGAAAGTAATAAACGATTCAATGAACTCTTAATAGAGACATTATTCTACTGTGACTTTCACTTCACAATAATTATTGTAATTAAAAATGATTTTGTTACATGTTTCGTAGAACATTTCAACTAACCTGCTCAATAAAATGGGTGATTTTTTTTCTTATCGAAATGATAAAATGATTTTCAAGTTAAAAGCATGTAGGGTATATTGTGTATAATGTATACCTTTCATCAATTTACTTATTTTTTATTTATGTTTTATATAACTTACGTTTGCTATTATATTTTTTCACAACTTATTGAATTTAGATCTTATTTATCTCATATCGAAAAAAAAAAATGTCATGTGCATATCCTCCAACATTGTATTATGATTACATAACGTATAATTGATAGAAATAAAAACGTTTTCATACCCATGTGTATCTAGAATTTTTAAAGATATATTTTCCTTTTTGATGTTTGCTCAAAGATCCACACGAATAGAGGTTGTGATATCATTGAGGGTTTGTTTGTTGTTTGAATTTCGCACAATTCTACTCAAGGTCTATACGCGCTGACCGTCCCTAATTTAGAAGCGATAGACTAGGGGGGAAGGCAGCTAGTTAACACCACCCACCACCAACTCTCGAACTATTCCAATGGACTATTGAAATTGATCTTCACATTATAACGCCTTCACAGCCCGCGACCCTCAAATTTTGAGTCGAGCATCGTAACACCAGGCTATGCCAGGCGAATAACAGATTGATCTTCACTATATTTTTCTGAAACATTGTCTTAATTTGTTAAGATGTTTGTTTGTTTTAATTTCGTGCAAAGCTACCTGAGGGATATCTGCGCTAACCGTCCCTAATTTAGCTCTTGTGCTACTCTTTTACCAACGAATAGTGGAATTGACTGTCCCATAACAACGTCTCCATGGCTGAAAGTGCGAGCATGTTTGGTGGGACGGAGATTTGAGCCCGCGATTGCGAGTCGAGCGTCCTAACCACCTGGCCATGCCATGCACCTATTGAAAAGTATTAATGTTGTTGTGGTGGATACTTTTAGTGCAAAGCTACACAATAGATATATGTGCGTTCTGCCCACCGCGGGGAATCAAATCATTGTAAGTCCGTAAATTTACAGCTAACCAACATGGAGACTAAAGTGTCAATATATTCTTATTTTTTAATATTCCTTTCTGAATTTACTACATATAAACGTATTTTTAAGAGGCTTCAGAAGATTCACCGGTACTTTCAGAGAGATAAAAATGAACGAACGAAAAATTATTGATAATGATAATAATATCGGTTCTTTGATTAGTATACAGAAAACAGATTATGGTTCTTAGGTAAGGGTTGATTTCTGTAATAAATGTTTTTTTGTGTAAAAAAATAATGAAAGTGAGATTTAAATTCAACTACGTTTTGTAAATTAAGTGTAAATTATCCTTCACTTTTCGTTAATTTTGCATTATTGTTTTTTTAAGTTTATATACCTCAAAATTACACTTTTTTACTTTTTCTTTCGCAGCAGTTATCAAATGATCTATATCACAGTAAAATCTCCTGCTGTTTTATATCTTTATTTATAGGAAAGACACATATAGTTGGCATTGGATATTATTCAATCTGATCGAACGAAACTTTACGCGACATTTACTATAAAAGCACCTCATGTATAGCACTAAAAATTGGGTTGTGATACCCACCACGGTCAGCACACAGATAACCCATTTTGTAGTTTTGTGCTCAACAACAAACAAACGAACTATATAAACATAAAACCTAACATCTCACCATTAACAACAACTGTTATCAAGCGATTCACCTTACTATGAAATTTGTTCTTGTTTTTATAAGATTTTATCGTAGAAAAATTGACAACCATATCTATTTTGTGTTTTTCAGAAAATGCCCCGATACAAAGGATGCTAGTATGACGTAATCATAATGAAGTCTCAATTAAGATTTGCGTTTTTCATCATTATTTTGTTTTTCTTCAATTTTGTTTTTGGGTTGTGCCCCTATCGGTGCCAGTGTAACGAGGAGAGCTTAGTGGCTGTTTGCAATGAGGCAAAACTGGACGTTGTGCCCATCACTCTGAACCCTGATCTACGGGAACTACATTTGGGAAAGAATAATATCAAAAGTATCATGTCAGCTTTTAGTGTTTACCATAACCTTCAATATTTAGATATGACCGGAAATAATTTGGTAACTTTGGGAAAAAGCAACTTTGAGCGTCAGCACAGACTTCAAATCCTACTTCTCGGAGACAATACGATTTCATCTTTAAAACATATGACATTCTTCGGTCTTTATTCCCTGCAGATTTTAAAATTACCAGGGAATTTAATCCATGAACTTCCTGATGGTCTCTTCAAAGATTTACCGAACCTTGAAGTTTTAGATTTATCTAAAAATGATATTGTTACCATATCAAGAGATGCCTTTGTCGGATTAGAAAGAATAAAAATATTGTTACTTCGAGATAACAAGCTAGTGCAAATCCCCAAGGCAACATTCAAGCCTATTCCTCATCTAATAAGCTTGGATTTAGGTCTCAACACTTTTGTTTCGGTTAAAGATTACGAATTTTCCGATCTTATACGATTACAAACGCTGAAATTGGACAGTTGCAAAATTCGTGAGGTCTATAAATATACATTCAATGGACTTAAGCATCTTTCTAATATTTTGCTTCAAGACAACATGTTGAATTCCATCCCCACTGAAGCTTTGAGCAACTTAAAAGCTCTACGAGAACTCCAGATTGGCCAGAACAACTTCAGCAAAATCCAACCAAATGCATTTTATGGTTTGAAAAATCTTCGTTCAGTCATCATCAATAGTGCGCCCCTGTTGGAGAGAATAGAAAACTATGCTTTTTTACACAACACGCAGTTACAAAATTTAGTTATAAATTATAACAAACAACTCCGCTATGTGGGAGGAAATACATTTTCTTCTCTCACTTCCCTTCGTTCCATTAGCCTTCGAGGCAATGCCTTCTACACTCTTCCTGCCGATTTACTCCCTTGGCAAAACTTAGAAAGTTTTAATCTACTAGATAATCCATTTGTGTGCAATTGTAGTCTTTTGTGGTTATTACGTTTACTGCAAAACTTCAATTACTCCACTCACGTTGATTCTGAAGTCACACACATTACTTGTGATACTCCTACTTTTTTACGTGAACTATTACTGAAAGATTTAACCCCAGAGGAATTAGGATGTTATACATCAGAAACACAGAAAATTTTGACATGTACGTTTGTTGTTGTTGGACTGGCAGTTATCGTAATCATTGTGATAATTCTATGGTACCGCCAGAAGGTGGTCAACGATCTCAAGATTAAGTGTAGCACCAGCTTATCCGACTCACAATTTGATGCCAGATATGGCCAGGATAATTTGAGGTGTGGACGAACCCCTGAAAGGGAATGGATGGTAAAGATAGGGAGGGATTCACATCTAGGAAGACTTGTTTAACATTCCTCTGAAATTTAAAGTCGTATAGTGCTGTATAACGCTTTAGCTAAATTAAAATCAAGCAGAATAATCCAATATTAACTTTCGAAACCAAGAATATATTTGTTTTTACTATGTTGCTCGTCCACAAAAACTGATAGCAGTTTGACTAACTTGATCCATGGTATCTCGAAGGAATGGATTTGGTTAAGATTTAAATGAAAAAACGATAAAAGGTGAGTTATGTTCTTTCAAAACATAAAGAACGACAACCAAAGATAAGAAAAGTACTTATATGTATTGATTTCGAGTTTACGATGTATAAAACAATTTTTATATTACTTCTAACGAAGGCCGAGTATTTGAAGTATACGTACAGCAACATAATTTAATTATGCAGTCATTCGAATTTTATTTTCAAAATTATTACAAATTTTAGAAGATACGTGGTTTTTATGTTTTTAATGGTGTATTCTGAATTTAGTCATTCCGTGTGAAATACCAATAAATAACTTACATAATTATTTCATTAATATATTAAATTGTAAGAAAATTCCTAATGCAAAATGTATATCGTGTTGTCAACATAGTTTCAATATAGCTTGTGATTTAAATTAATATGTTTGTGGTATTTATTCAGAGGAGCACTCCTTAAAATATAGAAATAAAGATATTTGTAATTAATAATTATATAAATAATTATATTTTACATTTACCCATTTTAACAAGAGAAACGTCATTGAATAAATAATTAAGACAACAGAGCCCAGAAATGAGCAGAAAGTGTTATCTTCTACATTAACGAAATCAACGTTAGAACATTAGCAAATAGAACCACGTATAGGGAAAATAAAACTGAAGTGTTTTGTTGTACTCATATTACACCAAGATATGGAAGGATTTCAAAATGTACCAGCTGGCTCAACGTTAAAGCTTATAACGTTAAAATCGGCGTTCGATACCTGCCACGGGTATTGGACAGCTCATTGTATAGCTTGACACTTAAACAAACAATACAAAACAAAGCATTTTAAAACTTGTTAGTGGTACGCGTGTTGGAAATGATGTTTACCTGGCTTAAGTCACGAAATTAAAAAATATGAACACAAAATAATTGTAATATTTTTTAATTTACAGAAGTAATTCAATAGCACACAAAATGTGTTTCAACTTATTTGTTTCAAATAATGAGTTTTCTTGTTATTTGCTCCTTAACAAAAGCTGTAGACATATTGAGAACATTTAATAACACTGCTATTTAATAATCCCACATTGTTGTTTGTAAAAGGTTTTTCTCTAAGATTTATTGGTTCGTTTTAACATATTTTCAATATGTTAGATCAGTTGAGACTTGATTTAGATTTTTTCTAGAAATTCTAGAAGAAGGCATTATCAACAGTATGCTATATAAGGTGTTTTTTACCATTATGCCTTTCTAAATATATAAAAAAATATATTTTCAAGCGCGTATTAGATTAACTTTACATTTTAAAATTTCGCCTCTCGTGCTACAATTTCTCATATCTATCCAGTATACTTAAACTTTAAATAGTCTTATGAATTACGTGCTAAGAGATTTACTAGTTATTTCTTATATGATTGAAAGATGCCTTATTTCGAAATAAAATTTTGTTTACTACATCATTTACCGTTAGAGAAAAAATACGCTAAAATCTTAAAATCAAAACTTTGGATTTTTTTACTATTCACTTATTTAGATCTCAAATTGAAATTTACAAAAGGTCAACCATATAACAATAATATATTTTAAGAATTCTTACGTATCAACGTATTTCAATGATATTTATAAGTAAATAAGTTGTTTGTGGTATTATTATCAGTGAAATATCCGCAAACCAGATCAAGGTAAAGTTAAAACGTAATCTACGAGTACTGGACAAATCAAATCAATATTTTAAAACGATATGTAATATCTATTTAAACTAATATTCTGAATTACAATTTTGAAGTTTGGATCAACTAAAGTTGTAAATGTCTTGAGACAATAAATCTGCCAGATTAATTTTATTTGCCAAAATGAACTGTTACAATTATACTGAAATACTTTGCGAGGTAAAACAGATTATTTCAAAATCACGTTGTTCCGTATAGCACTTCGATCCTACAAAAGATGTAGTTCCAATATATTTATGTATATATTATAGTCAGTCTAACTGAATTCAAATGACGCTGGATAAAAGCAAAAGATCAAACACATTAATAAGAGGAAAGTGATTGTTAAAAAACACTCGTAACGTTTAGTTGACTTACCACTGGCTGTTTGCTGTATTTTTGTTATTTAGCTGATAATGATGGGTATATTTTAGGATATGTAATCAAACTTATGTAATATTTGGACATCTGGACCTTCTAATTTGTATTGTAGGTTTACTACCGTGCCAACAACCAGCCGAATGGTAGACCCTCTTGGTATGTGTGAGTTATAATGGCGAAAATCAGCTTATAATGCTCAGGACCTGTTTAAAGTCATTTGCGTTTTGTTAGAAATGTCGAATTCTTGTGTTTTATGGTGTCATATCGGGCTGCATAATTATAGTATTTCTGAAGAAATGAAATTAAAGCCAGGCGGGATTCGAATTCACGCCTCTGCTCATAAAGAAGAATCCCATTGTACTTCATATTTAGAAAAGAATGGGAACAGCAAATAAGTGTCAATAATATAATCAGAAATAATTTTGGATTGAATTTTCTAAATTATTGCTAAAGCGAAATTTGAAAAAATTAACTTCGCAGACCTGCTTTTAAATTAAAATTATAAAAAAAGTATTGAACTTTGTTACTTGTGTTATTAACTTCTTTTTGCAAACCAATAAGATTATGTCAGATTTTTTTATTATTTGGGTTAGTATCACGCAAAGAAGTCTGTATTTTAGTCTTCGTTTTAAACAGTCATGTTTTAGGATGTTCGTTGCATGTGTTGCCTGTTACTTAGAAATACATGAACAGTTTCCCATAACAAGCCCCCAGGCGCACAGCGGTATGTCTGCGGACGCTAGAAACCGGGTTTCGATACCCGTGGTGGGCAGAGCACAGATAGCCCATTGTGTAGCTTTGTGCTTAACTACAAACAACCCGATAACAATTGTTAAGTGTGCAAGCTATGAGCTTTACACCATTCTGATTGATTATCATGATTCATTCGACACGAACGTAAACATTTTGAAGTAAAAAGACAATGTTATTTTAATATTGAATGTGATCATTCTCCTTGTAAGATATATACGATCCCATTGCCCTGTTATTCATCCAGAATTGACAAAATGTTTTTTATAAGCACTTCTGTAACTACGTTTGGAATTCGCCAGCTACATGAATTGGTTAATCTATTTAAAAAGTTTTTAGTAAGATCACACAATAATCTAGTCTATACTTTTAATCATTCCTGAAAAAAAAATACTTCAGCAAATATTTATAATGTTTTTCTAAATATTTAATAAATAAAAATTATAGAATACATTTCAGTTGTTAGAATTTGTTAAATATTTTTGCAATTAAATATATCCCTAGTAGAAGTATAGAAAAATGCTGTTTTTACATAATATCAATTCGTAGTAATTACTTTATGTCTTTTATTTTCATATTCTGAATGATTCTAACGCTACTATGATATCAAAATAGGATGGAATAAAACAATGTGACAAATATACAATCAACGCTTTGTTTTCTATAATCTTCATGCTGCTAAATCACACTTACAACCTAACAGTTGATTCCTTTAAAACAATGTGACAAATATACAATCAACGCTTTGTTTTCTATAATCTTCATGCTGCTAAATCACACTTACAACCTAACAGTTGATTCCTTCATTGAATTTGGTTGTTACGTTCTGTGTTTTTGTACATTTCTAATCTTCTTTATGGTTTGGTTAATTTACTTTATTCATCAACAATGAAATTCTTATAGTTAATTTATTTAGTAGATTTTAATATGTGTTTCGGTACTAAGGGTAATTCATAGCAATTAACCTCTGATAACCTTTGACTTAATATTCTTAGAGTATCTCGCAGAGGCAATGTTCATAGATATATAACTGACAAAAAAGTCCTAGCATCATCTCTAAAAGAAGTTTAACTTAGCTATGCCTCAGTAACAGGATTTATAAATATTATCATCAATATTTATAAATTAATATATTATTTCTTTTCTGACAGGTTTGACTCGTCATGAATTTTGCATAGAATACGGACACTTTTATGTTTCTATACAAAAAGTAAACTCTATAATATAGGGTAATTATTGCCAAATGTTTGTTTTCAAGTATTTTGAATCTTGTCGGTGATTCTATATCGAACAAGAAGAACTTGATGTTCAACATTTTAAATTATTGACTTGTATATTGTTATTTATGTGTAAGCTCAGATATATGTGAATAGCTGTCTTCAAAAGCTGAAAATTATTGATGTACCTCTGTGCACCAGGAGAAGATGATGTCAAGGAGCAAAATATGCGTGTTTTCTCTTTCACTTTAAACTATTTCTTTACAATTTAACATAGTATAGATTTGTCAAACAATGAATAATTATTTGAAGCCTTTTTACAACGATACAATCTATAAAACTAATTCATACGTCTTCTCTAAAGATATGCTTGTATAGAGCTTGTTTTTTACAGGAATGTCAACAGGCATAACTTTGATCACTTATGAATTACATCACAACTAATCTGAATGAACATTTTCAACGCCTGATAAAAGTGATTTGTATATTCCTTGTCAACACTATTGTACAGCATTATTGTAAAATGTAGCATACATAGGCGATTCTACTGTTGTTAGTTAAGATTTTGTACATGAGATAATGACTAACCACAATTATCTGGCTTCTATCCCGTAAATAAACTAACTCTGATGTCGACAACTTGTTTTAGTAATTACAGAAATACACATGAGTTGGTGGATTTTACCCACTTCTCTACACTCTTAGACTATGTAACTCTGAGACTACATAGCGTTATTTGTTATCGTTAAATGTAGTTTCTGTCTGTAATCAGTGAAATGTATGTAATACGTGTAACTATATTCTATCATTTTGTTGTATATTGAAATTCAATGTATTCTGCAATAAAATATTGCGTTTAAATACTTAAATTGCTTATTTTCAGTCAATAGCAATTCTTCGTTGACATTTACTAGACAAAAATAGATGTAAACAGTGTATATAATGGCTATGCTCAAATTTATGGAATAATAACTCATATTAGTGAAGTTTTGCAGTGGATATTTTTCAAGCTATTTGAAAGAAATATTCAGTACACACACAATAATAAGTAACTAAACATAGAACTAAATAAAATAGCATACAGAGTAATATTCTTTTGTAATCTTTATGTACGATAATTAATATGCCTATATTCCATAATATTATTGATAGTACATCTAAATGACATGAGGTCCTCTCTGTTAGAATTTGTTCTTGTAATATGCTAGTGGGACATTATACATATAATTTATTTTAATATCATATTGAAATATTATATACACTCTCGTAGACTTGATCAGAAATGGATATATAAATCAGTTTCTTATAAGCTATAATATATTTATTTGTCAATTATATAACTGGTAGGTAAGTAGCATATAACATGTATTTTATTAAACGAAAATGACTAACGATAGCGGAAGTATAATCATCAGTTCTTACGCTTGAAATAGAGAAAAACAAGAACAGCATAGGATGTGATTCTGTAAAAGGAAATACATAATCAGTTATAATATTCCATAATATACCCCTAATTTCCGGTTTTGGCTCTTACAACATTTTTTCTGTGTACGCAATTTGAAAGCTTCTTTTATGTCAGCAAATGCTCCTGTGCCGTGTATAGATGAACTGGGATATGGTGTTCTTGCCCAAGGAAACTGGTAACCTGGTAATCACTCCAGGAGAATTTCCGTCTAAGCTCTCTGAAGGGCGGTGGCCAACACGGCAACATCCATTTAAGATTTTGTTTAATGCTATGTTCGTGAACGCCCTGTTCCGAGAAATATAAGATTTCATCCTATTTGTGTTTTGTAGTATTTCAGTTTATGTTGTTTCATTTTCTTGTGCTGAAACTTGTTCTCGGTGCTCATAGTGTAATATTACAGTCTGAATAATGAAAATAGCTTTTATTTAGTACAACTGTATTTGAACTCGGACGGACGTATCACAGGTTATAAAATAGATTCTACTCTTCATAAGCTCTAGATAATATATTCAGTTAAAAATAACATATTTTTGCAACTGCAAGAAAGATTCGGTCATCTCTTGACCAAGTAATATGGCCCAATAAGTATGTTCAGCTAAGGCAATTAGTACAAAAACAGGTATGTCTGATAAGTAAGATTAATAGTGTTGATGTGGATGTAAGATGCTACAAGTTCATATTCTACACATTAGGTTTGGGACCTAACTTGTGGAATGTCTTCACGTCTAAATTATTGTAGATGTCTATCAATGGACAAATGCCCCCCAGTGGTACAGCTGTATGTCTGCGGACTTACAACGCTAGAATCCGGGTTTCGATACCCGTGGTGGGCAGAGCACAGATAGCCCATTGTGTAGCTTTGTGCTTAATTACAAACAAACCAACAAATCAATGGACAATGTAGAAATTGTTTTCAGGAGTCATGATAGAGAGTTTATAATCAGCAGATTTTTTTAGTTGTTTTGGCAAAATATTGGTCGTACCACAAGTGAGTGTAACTCACCCTCCTTGTTGTATACAACTACTCATTGTTTTGGAATGCGGCACTTAAAAACCATACTTCCTACAAGATAGAGAGTTTATAATCAGCAAATGTTTTAGTTGTTTTGGCAAAATATTGGTCGTACCACAAGTGAGTGTAACTCACCCTCCTTGTTGTATACAACTACTCATTGTTTTGGAATGCGGCACTTAAAAACCACACTTCCTACAAGATAGAGAGTTTATAATCAGCAAATGTTTTAGTTGTTTTGGCAAAATATTGGTCGTACCACAAGTGAGTGTAACTCACCCTCCTTGTTGTATACA